GAACTTCCCCGTCCTCACAGCAAAAACACACTTCTTCGGGTTAAGTCTAAGATTATGCCTAGCCATAATCTCAAAGCATTTTTCCAGGTCCTGAGCATGTGTGCCGCTTGCCCTGCTCTTCACCAGCATATCATCGACATAGGCCTCCATGGTCCGTCCAAGCAAAGGCCTGAACAATTTGTTGACCATTCTCTGGTAAGTTGCCCCTGAGTTTTTCAACCCAAAGGCCATCACCTTGTAACAGTATGTGCCGTCCGGAGTGAGGAAGGCCGTCTTCTCTTCATCATCCTCCGCCATGAAGATTTGGTGTTACCCCTTAAAGGCATCCATGAAGCTAAGCAGCTCACACCTGGCGGTTTCATCAACCATTTGGTCCGGGCTAGGGAGAGGGTAAGAATCCATTGGACATGCCTTGTTGAGGTCTGTGTAGTCCACGCACATCCTCCAGGTATCACCCTTCGGGGCCAGGACAACATTGGCCAACCATTCAGAGTAGTTTACTTCCCTGATATGACCTACCTCAAGTAGGTCCTTGACCTCTTTCTTCACAAAGTCCCTCCTATCACTTGCCAAGAATCTCTTCTTCTGTCTTACAAGCCTAGACCCCTCAAGAACAGAGAGACGATGGCAAATGACTGACCGGTCCATCCCGGGCATATCAGCAACACTCCAGGCAAACAAAGATTTATACCTGGTCAGCACCTGGACAATCTCAGTCCTTAACTCTTCCTGAAGATCAGCCCCAATTTTGACCTTCCTCTAAGGATTGGAGGCATCAATCTGGATCTCCTCCGTGTTTGCATCCGGCTCGATCCTAGCCTTCTCCTCACCCTTGTCTACCTGCTGGGAGACCAGTTCAATTTGTTCGAACTGGCGGGTCATCTTCTTGACTACTTCCAGGTAGCAGGACCGGGCGTTCTTTTGATCACCCCTTTCCTCCCCGATTCCTTTGGGAGTGTAAAACTTCATGCATAAGTGTGCCATGGAAATAATAGCCCTGACCTGGTTGATTCTAGGTCTACCAAGAGTGGCATTATGTACACACTTGATGTCGACCACAACAAATCTCATTTGTTTGGTCACTGTCCTGTTACCTAACCCCAAGGTAACCGGTAAGGTGATCTGACCTTCCGCTTCTATGCTAGCTCCAGTGAAGCTTGACAATGGAGTTTGTAGCGGTCTTAGCATGGACCTTTCAAGCTTCAATTTCTTTAAAGCATCTAAGTATAAAACATTGACACTGCTTCATGTGTCAACCAGTACTCTGGCCACATCAGCTCCGTTGATATCCATTGTAATGACCAAAGGGTCATTGTGATCTCCCCCCGTCCTAGGCAGATCCCTATCAGTGAAAGTGATAGGTTCCCTCCTTGCCTGCTTTCCTTGTGATTCCAAGGAAACCACCGCTACGTGCAAGCTCCTGGCCCAGTTCTTCCGCTGGGAGGCAGTGTCCCCGCCTTCCGGGCCACCGACAATCATCTCAATGAATTCTTTATCCGGATTGTTGTTATCCTTCCCGGATTTTCTCCTTCCCTAATCTTTTCCCTGAGGACGGGTCCAGGTGTTCGCTTTCGGGTCCTTCTTATTCCCCGTCACGTAACCTTCCCCAAGCTCTCCCTTCAAGGCCATCTCCTTGAGCACAGCCTTGACATTCCGACAATCCGCCGTATTGTGGGAGTCAGATTGGTGGTAGGTACACCACTTCTCTGTCCAAGGCCTCTTAGGTTGTTCTCCCTTCTTCTCATCCCTTATTTGATGGACAGATCCGTCATATGTGGCCTTTGGCTTGGACCCTCCCATCTGGTCGTCCTTCTTCGGCTTGTCGGATTTCACCTTTGTATAACCTTCCTCCAGCTCCCGCTTGCTCTTGTTCAAGACCTCCGCCTCGGCGTATTCCCATGCCGTATTGTAGGCTTCTTGGTAAGAGGAGGGTGGCCTCCTACAGAATTCGGTGTAGAGGTCACCCGACTAGAAGGCATTCATCAGCAAAGACATGGCCGTCTTGTCGTCCATCTCTTCTACCTTGTCGACCTCGTCCCTCTAGCGGGTCAAGAATTGAGTCAAGGACTCCTTCTCCTTCTGCCCTACCGTGTTAAGGTAGGTGAACTTCTTCCTCTTGATGCAATTGTCCTGGTACTTCTTGCGGAAAACTTCGGCAAGTTTCTCAAAGGACCCAATCCTGCCATGGGGAAGGCCGTTAAACCATTCCACTGGCCTCCCTCTCAAGGATGAGAAGAAGAGTAGGCATTCCTCAGCATAAGTGCACCCGGCCATCTGTGCTGCATTGTGGAAGGTGTCAAGGTGGACGTTTGGATCCTCCTTTCCTGTGAATTTCTCCAAGTCCATCTTAATCTTCCGCCTCAACCTCTGCGCATGTACCCTGGCCGAAAAGGGAGATTTAGCCAAGGTGTGCTTTTTCGCTCCTGCCTTCTCTTCCACCTTTTCCTCCAGGGCACGTAACTTCCTTGCTACGCTCCCTATCTTGTCCAGGTCATCCTCATCGTATGAGAGCCTGGTATATGCCGACGCTCTAGGCTAGCTCCTTCCTCCTCGTCTTGGTGAATCGTCTCAGATTCCCTAGAACGACGAGATTGGGCGTGACGACTCCCGCCAAGTCTTTCCATTGCGCTACTCCGGCCCATCTCAGGACCAAGACGTAGCTTGGCAGACTTGCGGGGTCCATCCTCTTTGTCCCCTAGGCGTTTGAACGCCGAATCTCGAGTCTTGCTGGGTTTGGCTATAGCCTTACCCTTCCTCCTGCGGGCCACCTCCTGCTCCGCCTCATCGATTTCATGGACATTTGAGGGCGCTGCTTCATTCATGGTCCCCGTCAGATTCACCGGGCGTATAGGGACCATCCTAGGGACAAATGTCGACGGGGTCGACACCGGAGGTGGCATGATTGGTGGCGTCATGCCAGGATAGGCAAACGGCATGAAGCCCCCTGCCTGTTGCATCATGGCCATCACCTGTTGATAGCCCTGTAGAGCCTGAGCATTTGCCGGGTCAGCAGCAAACTAAGCCCAAGCTGACGGGTATGGTGTGAATGCTCCACCAGGCATTGTTATCGAGCCTGGGAACATTGTTGTCGTCGGCGTAGGAGTAGGGGTTGACATGATTTGGATCATGCCAATCGATCCTATAGTGGTGATCGGGGCAAAGGTCGTCCCCATGCTCGACATCATCAATGGGATGGCAGGAATGCTTTCACTCGCAGCCTGGCTTGACACAGCGTTGTAGTTGCTCGAAGACATGATTGTGGATATTTAGCGGGGGCAAAGTTTTGACCTGGCAGAAAAAACTTTAAAAATCGGTCCCACGGGTGGCGCCAAAAATGATGGTGTAAATATAGCGGGGTGGGTTAACCGGGTTTGACCTGGACACACTAGACCCGTAATATAAAACACACAACAAGAACACAAAGTATGACCTAGACCGGGTAAATCTCCTCAGTCCGAATTATATTTCTTACTCTATCTCAAGAGTGAACTTTAGTGAGAGAAAAATTGGATCCCCTCCTCTACCCAATATCATCATATTTATAGAGGAGGATTTGTGAACATCCCCTGTTCATCCATGGACAAAATAGGAAGCTCGTGGGAAGGTTACTGTAGATAATGGAAGCACTATACAATCACAGACTTGTTACTAATACAACCAAAAAAGCACTAATCAATCAAAGACTAAAATGGATATTCTCAATCCAATCAACCGTGCAAAGTGACAAATGTTCCTTTCACTATTTGCCTCGTGAAGGACGAATGGCGGGGTGGTCCCCTGGCCTTTGACGTTGATTGCCATTCCCAAGTGACGCAACCTTACCGGTCATCTTTCCTCCAAGGTTGTCCGGTCATTTCTTGAGTTTGACCTGTCTCTTTGGTCCTCTGGACTATCCTTCGTAACATGAAGTGATGAATTGGCTAACGCCCAAAATGTGACTGGTCACTTTTTTAGTGGAAGTGACCGGTCAACTTTTGACCCGTCCCAATCGAAGAGTTAACCTCATTTGGTGATTGATAAAAGTGACCGGTCATATTTGACATGTCCCTTTCGGTTATCCGGGTCGGGTATAAAGATATACCCATTAGGCTCAACGCTGGGTCACGATGTCGTCGTTCAGAATTCGCCGTTGGATTTGTGCGTTGCTGCTTCACCAATTTAAGGAGGGTCGCTGGTCCTGGTGGCGGCGTTGGGTCGAAGAAGGAGAAGAAAACGGATAAAAGGGAGTATTTATATTTCTACGGTTTTGTGCTCCGTAATTTAAAATAACGTGTGTGAGTAAAACCCACTTTTCAAGCTAACTTGCTCAAAATTAAGATCCGTTCACGCCGTTGGATTGGATTTGTTGATCATCACCTAATGATATAACTTTTATGATCAATTGACCAACATTTATATGTTTCACCTGGTCCGTTTTAGTTCTCTCGATTAATTAATATTGGTCAACCTTTTAATGTAAATATTTATAAATACAATCAGATTCGTCACATTATATTTAGACGATTAGAATCTCTAAAATATCTTTTAATTCTTTAAAAGAATAGATTGTCGTAAATAAATAATTCTTATTTATTTCATTATTGATTAACTACTAGACCAGTCTTCAGGGCGTTACATTCCTTCCCCCTTAAAGGAATTTCGTCCTCGAAATTCTTCTAAGGTACAAGGATTCACAAATTGGTTTCACATTCGCTTTCTGACCATGGTTCGGTGGATGGCCACGCCATTATACTCCCACCGAAATTCTCCTAGTTTATCGTTCAAGGTATTATCGTAGGAGTTTTTTATTTATGTTTTATTCAAGACTTGTGACAAGTTTGTTGAGTTCATAATTCGACTTTTCTTGAGTTTGGTTCCAACGGACACAAATGGAAAGCCTCTAGAGTGAGTACACGAAATGTTCAAGTTTCTTGATATCGTATCATCAGTTATTCAGTCGATTGTTCAGTTCATATGCAAAGTTCGTTCTTTTTGTTAGCTTATGACCAGTGCATACAGCCATACCATAGCCTCCACCCCATTAGCTGCTTTCAACCCAATGCACATAATCCACACACTTTTACTAAGTAGTTGTTCCTCCACAGCATGCATTAAAGAAAATACTGGCAGCCATCAAAAGATCATTAAAACTTCTTTAGCAGCTCTCTAAAGTAGGCAGCCATCAATGGCGAGGCTTGAGGCATGACTGCTAGACTCAAAAATTTAGAGTGTTATTGAAATTCCACAGTCGGGATGATTCTAAAGGTCTAAAGAAGCTCCAAACTCACAACACCAACCCATATAAAAGAGAAAATTGTATTCTCTGTTTATGAAGGAGATGAAAAATTAGAATTAAAAAAATCTCATTTCATGAGAGACAAATGATTAAATAAATAGCCAAAGAGGCCACCTCGAATTCTAGACCTGTCTTCCAATATGGCATTCTATGCCTGGGAGCAGCTTATTCAGTTGAGGTTTCACTTTTCAAAGTTTTTCTTTCGGTTTTATAGCATCCAAAGCAATGCACATAAGATTAATAGATAATGCATTTAGACAAAAATGATTTTTAAATAAATATATATACTTCAAAACCCACCCTAGAAAGCACATGTAAAAGGAAATAGATGGAATAAGATAACATACTCACTTTGGGATGGACGTGGGGGCAAACCATTAGGGAACCAAACCTGATTCATTTAAAGAGAATTTAAATGAAGATTAATTCATAAACATAATTTACTTACGCACATCACCTAAAACCTGGATGAGACCTCAAACCATTGACAACTTCAAACATTAAATAAACAAAGTGAAAATTAAATTACAAAAAAATCAAATTTTGTTTCATATTAACCTCATAATTCTGTTCTAATATGTAGGCTTCTTTACTTGTATTATAAGGTTTAAACACTAAGAATCTAAACTACAAAAACCTAATAATACACCACGAGAATATACATATCATTATAAAATAAGAGTATATAAAGTATCAACATGATGTGTAATTAGTCATCTAAGTGAGTAATCAGGTTGACCATGAAAGAGTTGTCTAGGTTGTTACCATTTGGAAGTACTCTAGAAAGTGGTGGCATGGACAAGGCTAGTGGCTAGAGAAAAGCGAAGGAAGATACAAACATGTCATTCTTCTTGATGATTCTTCACTTTGGCATCTTTCTTCTTTTTATTTGAATATTGACAAAGTATCATCCCGATTGACTCAACCTATTCATCATGACGGCAAAGATGGCTCACTTAATCAAATTTCTCAAGAAATGAGAGACAAATGGTTAAATAAACAGGCAAAGGGGCCACCTCAAATTCTAGACTGTAGAGTTGCCTCTCATTTTGTCATTCTATGTTTGGGAGCAACTTCTTTAGATGTGGTTCCACCTTTATGAGTTTCTCTTGTTGTTCTACAGCAGCCAAAACAATGCACATAAGATTAATAGATAACTCATTTAGATTTCCAAATAAAATTTAAAGTCAAATTGTTTTTTCAAACATACTTGAAACATGTAACAAACAAAGAATGAGAGACTGATAACAAAAGAAATGAATCTTTACAAACTATTGGTCTGAAATCATAAGTTAATAATTGTACAAAAGATCAAGAATTCATAAGATTCCTAGAAAAAACAAAAGACTCTTAGTTATAATTGATTTGATCAATTGAGTGAAGATAAAATCTAGCAAAAAGATGGAAAAATTTTAAAGATTGATAAAATTCTCACTAAAGCCTGATCTTACTATCTTAGGGGACTAAAGTCTCTGTTCCGTTCAACTTATTTTTTCTGATCCGATTTTTTGTAGTTTTGATCTAATCTAATTGGATTTGATCTAATTGGATCTAATTTGATTTGATCTGAACTGATTAAATCTGATCTGATTGGATCTAATTTGATTTGATCTGATATGATTGAATATGATATCATCCGATTAATTATAATATGATTTAAAATTCAAATAAATAATTTTCTTTGACTTTATAATAACTTTTTAAAATTGTAATGATAATTCATATTATAATATAATCAATATTTTTTATTTTATGATTATTTTTTAATGAAATAAGATCAGTTAATTCATATATTAGAAAAATTATTCATATTATAATGTAATAATATTTTTTATTTTATGATTATTTTTTTTATGAAATAAGAATATTGATTTAATATTTTAATAATTAGTTCATATATACATTAGAATAAATATTTAATTCATATATACATTAAAAAGTAATTAAATTTTGATAATCAATATAGAGAAGAAATATTATTTTTATTAAAATATCTCAACTTATAGAATTTCAATGTTAAGCAAAGAAATAATACATTTTTCTCTATCTTGTATAATAATATATTACTTTCTAAGTTTTCTATTTAACTAGTTTCTAAAGTTTATTCTTTTTCATTTTTAAGAAAAAAAATTGTGCTTCATATCATTTTATTTTTGAATTTTTCTCTACATAGATTATAATCGCACAAAAGTTTCATTTTCTTTCTTCTTATATTTTTTCAAGAGAAATTAAATTTATTTTTTGAAAGAATCGTATCAAGTGAAACAAGTAAAAAGTATGGAATTTAAAAAGTATGGAGTAGTAACGATAATGATGATGATGATGATGATGATGATGATGATGATGATAATTCCTAATATAATAATAATAATAATAATAATAATAGTAACGATAATGATGATAATAATGATGATGATGATGATAATAATTCCTAATATAATAATTCCTAAAAAGTATGGAATTTAAAAAGTATGGAGTAGTAACGATAATTCCTAATATTTATCGACCTTTCATTGTCATCGCGTGAAACCATGAGCATCCGACCTACCACTTTCGTCGCCATATATGCCTGCGTCCATAAATATATAAAAAAACTTAAAACATTACTATAAGAAAGAGGCATGTTAGGGGTACACCACCATTTGGGGTACCCCATTTGTACACCATCAATCTTAACCCTTTGATGGACAATAAATCCACCAAATGATCCGATTTCCAGAGCGGATCGCAAGAACAAAATTAAGAACAAGAATTCGAGAATTGGATGTGTATTACTAGCTTGATTTAGCTTGAGTTCTCCCCTTTCGGGTCCCTTCTATTTATACACGAGCTCTCAACAATTAAGGTGAAGCATAACCGATGGAGTCTAGCCCGCCAAGGGCGCGATCCCCTTTTCCCGGCTCCGTAACGGCCAATCAGCTCCGTCTCCTTCTCCGGACTGACTCTGCCAGCTGTGTTTGGCCTCAGGTTAACTAGGCCCAGCTCCTTGGGCCGGCCCAGCTTGAGTATTTCACAAGTGCTTGACCCGAAGCTGTTTAAATGGTTCATTTGGGCCGTCCTCTGGATATCGGGCCATCACCCTTCATTTCTTTTTTTTCATTTTTAAACTCTTTTTTCCTTTATTGCTATTGTGTGGTGGAGATGAAGGGGGTACAAATGGGTAGGTGTACCCCTAGCTTTTTTTCTTACTATAAATATAAAGAAATTAAAATAGAAATTAGAAAATGGTGTTAACCTCTTCTTGAAGCAGTGAATCCGACCCCTTCTTCTTCTCGTTCTTCAATTGGGTCCCAATTACTTTGTAAAATGATGGCGTATATATCTACGGGCTTCTACCAACGAACCAGCTTCAATCGTTGCGGAATTATGAGCATAAAAGCTGAAGACGTAAAAGGAAGACACTACGAAGGATGTGATGAAAGCATAAAAGCTGTAGACGTAAAAGGAAGACACTACGAAGGATGTGATGAAGATCGGGTGAAAAGAATGAGCGGTTGAGAAGTTTTTGAGCAATGCTCTCGGCCTATCGGTTGTCTTGCACTTTCTTACCGTTCACGCGTAAAGATTTTGGGCGGGTTGTATATAGGAAGATTGGGAGACCAGCCTAGTGGAACTCATTGTCGCTGGTCAGCATGCCGGAATTGGGGTGCCTCGTCGCCACCTGAGTCGTCTCCTCGTCGTCGCTGCTACTATGCCGGGTTGGGTCGTGCCTCGTCTCGCCTGCTTAGATGGCATCGCTGCATTGGAGGACACCCACGGAGAGGATGCTGGAGGTCGCCATTGCTGGTTGCTCCTCGCCAGTGGAGGGAGGCCGACGGAAGGCCCGACTCGCTCTGATTGCTGCTATGGTCCCTCCGGGTCGGGTCGCCAGTCCCTGATTTCCGTACGCGGAAGATGAACGCTGGCATCATCAGATCATTTAAGTTAGACTTTTGGAAATTCAACTTTGACCCCATTATTTGAATTCACTTGGAATTTAGCCCTTTCTTTATATTTGGAATTTTGGATGTAAATATCAAATAATTACCACAAATCAGTCCAAAGCCACATATTAGATGCATAAAACTCAATTAAGATCTAAATCATATTAAAATCCAAGTTAATAAGTCTATGCGAGAGGGTTTCTCTAAATAACTCGAGGAGAGTACTTATATTTGGAACTTAATGCCTCATGGGAGAGGAGGGCTTCTCTGGTTTCCTTGAGAAGAGGACTTATACTTAGAGGAACTTATGCCTCACGAAGAGGCCTTTTTATCAGTGCCTCGCGGAGAGGGCTTTTTCTCTATGACTTGCGAATAGTGCTTTTTCTCAATGCCTCGTGAAGAGGGGGTTTTTTTTTACAGAAAAAACAAAACTTCATTCAGAAGAAATTAGATGTGCAATACAACTGGGTGGTGTACAGCTCCATGAGACAAAATGGGGCGTAGCACACCGTGCAAGAGTATGAGCAATACAATTATGATTCCTACGAATAAAATGAAAGCCAATAGATGTAAACGAAGATAATAATTCAACACAATCATCAAGGATGGGACCTAGATAAGAGTAGCACTCAAAGGCCCTTCCTTGCTTGATAGCCCCCACTAAAACCTCACAATCAGAAAGAATTTCAACGTCACGAATACCTCGATTCCGCAACCAAGATAATGTTTCCTTGCAAGCGAGAGCTTCCGCCAAAAGAGGATCTAGAGGCCCAAGTTTTCCTCCATTTGCCGCTGCCACAAAGGCACCTCCTGGATCAAAAAGGACACAGCCGAAGGAGATGGACTCCTCCGAAATTGATGTCGCAGCATCAAAAAAACACCTGTATGCCTCTGCCCGCAAACTTACCTCGTGCCACTGTGGAGTACGCTCCCGCTCTGCAACAGTCTTGTTTGACCATTGGGCTTCCATGGACAACACCATATTCTTGAGCTCTCCTGGATGCAGTGTCTTATGATCCCAAATGGCAATGTTACGTGCTTTCTAAATTGCCCAGCAAGTCAAAGCGACGGTACGCAGCTCCAATAAAGTGTCATTCTGACACCGAACTTGGAACCAGTTTTGGAAAGAGATAAAAGAGATTCTATTACCTCCTTTGCCCATGAGCCTCCAAACCGAATCTGCAAAAGGACAAAACAAAAAAATATGATCAACTGTTTCAAGAGCTCCTCCACAGAGAGGGCAGCCCCTATCCACCTCCACTCTCTTAGAAATGAGAGCATCCCGCGTGGGCAAGATACCTCGAATGGCCCTCCACAAGCAAACGAGAACTTTCGGGGCCACCGGAATCCGCCAAAATCTTCCCCAGTTTGAAAAAGAGGACACGACAGAAGCATCTCCCATCAAACATCTGTAAGCACTTTTCACCGTATAAGCCCCACGGAAGCCCCAAAGAGGGCTTTTTCTCAATAACACAAGAAGTAAGGTTTTCTCAGTGCCTCACAAAGAGGGGTTTTCTAATGACTATTTTAAGCCCGACTCTCTAGACTATAGAACTCTCATCCAAATTACTTTCTTCTTCTTGTTAAATATATCAAGTATATATTTAGTATATTTTGTATATAGTAGTTTCCATGTATTGTAGAGTCCTTATTTATTATAGTTTCCTAACACAATAGGTTTCCTAACATAACTATGGAAACCTCTACTATATATACTCCCTTGTATTCACACATTATATTAGTGGAAAATATTCATTCTTCACTTCTACTATTTTTTTCTCTTTTTTTGAATTTTTGTTTCTCTTTAATTCTTTTGATTACTGGACCTATTATAGATTTATAACCCACCAACAAATTCTATATTTTTCGTGGTAAGTTGATGACCTATTGGTCCGTTCCATTTGAGGTAGTGGAGGCATTCCCTCTGGACCTTTACAACTTTGTGGAAAAGGTAACGTTAAATTTATTGTGAATGAGCAACATTCGAAGCGTTATCTTGCAAACAACCATCAAGAGGTAATATGTAACGCTCCAAAATATATCCTAAAAGTATATCAAATTATTATTCGAATAAACAAATCGCTTGATTAAAATAAATTGTTGTTGGGCTTTGGGCAGAAATAAAATATATTTGATATCCAATATCATAATCTGGATAAATCTCATATAGATAAATTCAATATGTTGACCTATGGTGTGACCTTGATTGGGAACCTGAGTACAAACCCAAATCAAGAATAAATGAAGAAATTGTTTATGATCTGAACATTGAAATAATTTATTGAAATAAATCATGAGAATAAATATTATGAATGGAATGTAAGAACCTTTTTGAGTAAAGGTCAAATAAATCAATTTTGACTCTGTCAAAGTCAACCACCGAATAGATGATGTCGGAAAAAGTATTACAAATAAATATGAAAATTATATCCTCGAATAGAGTTTAACTGTCTGATCGCAACGGTGCAAACGGATTTCAATTCGGAAAAAGTTGGATCAAAAAGTGTACCCTAACTAGAGCCAAAATTAGTCCCAATCAAGGATTTGCGCTTCAAATCCGTAGGAATCGCAGCCCGCTCCACTGAGACGCCTAAACAGGAATGCAGACATCACCTTGGCTTCTTCTTCATTTCCTCCCCTATATAAACCACCATCAACCTTCTCATTCTTCATCAAAACATACAAGTTTAGTACCAAAGTGTTCCTGAAAGTGAGGAGAACATGCTGCAGTAGTTGGAGGCCGCCGAAGTCGCCGGAGTTGGGAGAAATCTTCACCGGAAGTTTCACCGGAAAAATTCCAAAACCTCCATTAAGCTTTAAGGTAAGCCCATAGATATATCTAGTGACTAGAATGTTCGTATAGATCGTTTCTACGTTCATAAACGGTCGTTTGGTTGAGTTTTGTGTTTGACATGCTTGAAGAACAAAGAATCATAAACCATGAAATTGATGTTAAAAATATGAATTAATGATGCCAAAATGATCTATGAACCTTGGAGAACATCTCTATATAGTTTCGTTGAAGTTCGATGACTAAAAATGATATTTCTGAAATTGGACCCGTAACAAAGAAGACGATGAACAGTGGCTGAAAATACCCAGGAAGGATCGATCATCCCTCCTGGATCGACCCAAATGAATAATTTCTCTACGGAGGATCGATCTAAAGTGCTGGATCGATCCCCCGACCCGTCTGCTCCAAAAATACTTCCGAAAATGCTGTTTTTGAGCTCTAAAATCCTATTTTTTATACCAATCAATTAAGATTAATATAAAGATGATTTCTTGGAATAAAAAATAATATTTTGATAATTAAAAGGACCTTACGTGATGCATGACGGTAAGCTAGGGTATTAACACTCGAAGCTATGTCGCTAATTGTTATTGAATATTATGTTGATTGATTATTATGGTAATGATTATTGATTGATGATTATAATGATTAAATCTTGATGAATATTCTGATTAAAAATGATAATCGTGAATTATTAAATCATAATGAATATATATTAATGATTGTAAAAATAATATGTATTGTTAAGGGTATCTAGAAAACCTCTAAGATATACCCATATTAGTGTTGATTTGAAAGGTATCTAGAAAACCTCTAAGATATACCCATTTAAGTTAGGCCTTGCGGGTATGAACCCCGGTGGCTAGGGTTAAAACGTATGTACGGGATCCAAGAACCAAACTTGAGTACCTACTCGTTTGGGGGTACCACCCACCCAACAGTGAACACTACGCTGTCGGTTTCTGGTTGACTTTAAGTGAAGGTAAGTTTAAGATTTTTTCAAAACCCTTTTATCTTAAACTAGGCCTAGCTTAAGGATTATTTAAGAGTACTTTATACTGGAATATAGTTTAATTATTTAAACTAGAATTCATTTAAGGGTTGATAAACATTAAAGTGATTGGCCTTAGACTACGAATAGTTTAAGGATCGGATATTGTCGAATGTTGAATATTGAATATGAATGAATATTATTAAATTGAATATTGTAAATATTATCAATGACCGATGAACATTGAATATGAATGAATATTGAATGATGATTATTGAATTGAATATTGTGAATATTATGAATAACCGATGAACGTTGAATATGAATATAAATGTTGAATAATGAATGATGAATATTGACTAATGATTATTGAATATCTGAATTGAACATTATGTGCATGATATCAAATGATTTGATTATGAATTTAGGTTCAGTTTATATGGATGCTCGACGCATTAGATATGCTTACTCAGCTTCAACGCTGAGCGTGTAGTATGTTTTATTTGCTACACGCAGGTTAATAGAAAGAATGAAGTGACGTGATCCTGGAGGCAGACGGAGGTGAGATTGTCGAAATGAATGTTATGGTTTTGAATTAAAGAACATAAATAAATTATGTTTGTGATTATGATTTGTTAAGCTTCCGCAATATTGAAAACTTCGTACTGTATATGTTATGAAAAATATTATTGTGATAAATAAAATATGTTTGAAAAGTTTTTAATTTTTACGATTACCAAGTTAAATACTTTAGTCCGAAAGGGGCTGCAGATCTAGACAAATTAGGGTGTTACATTTTGGTATCGGAGCAAATGGTTTTATTCCCGATCTTCGAATCAAAACTTGGATTTAAAAAAATTGTTGTATATTATATATATATATATATATATATATATATATATATATATATATATATATATATATATATATATATATATATGATAGACCAAAACCCCCCGGGTGTGTATTTTTTGGTCTATACGATATATGTATAAAATATGGAAAATATATCAACAAAAATATAGACAATAGACTTTTAACGTGGAAACCAAATCGGTGAAAACCACGGGCCTTTTTCGGCAGTACCATACCAATGGGGATGTTTTATTATATATCGAAGGTATATTTGTACAACATATTGGTGTGATAGCCATTGATGGAGCTCGAAGCTCCATCAAGAAGGAGAAGATGAACACGGTGAATACAATATGTGGGAAATGTAGAAGGTGGCTCCCCCTTCTTCTTGGTTATGTGTCTCTTATATAGCATCAAGGTAGGAGCCTAGGGTTAGGGTTTCCTAGCGGGCTCCTTGCGTGGACCGGCCCAATATCTTTAATTAGGCCCAAGAGATATTATCCCATCACAAGCCCCCCAGTTTCTGAGTGAACGCGAAGTGTTGACTGAGAAACTATAATTTGTTGTCGTCTCTGTGAATTTCTTCAATCGACACTCTCTTGCGCCGGAATCCCTTGAAGCTTCTGCTAGTGTAGGCACAAATCTTGATTCCTTAAGTTTCTCTTCTTTTAAAACCTAAAATTTTTTAAAAGATCATACTTGCCTCGTCGAGCGACTACGAAGTCCATGGGACGGCTTCGTTGCGTTTTGAGGAGAGGACTTAGGAACCTCAAAAGATGAGGGATTTGGTTGCCTCGCGAGGTGGTGTAAGAACCGACCTCGGGGGAGGAATTTATTGAAGCCTCGCGAGGTGGTTTTTGGACCGACCTCGGGAGAGGGATTTTGTACCTCGTAGGACGAGGTTTAATCGGAGCCTCGCGAGGTGGTCTCAGACCGACCACGGGAGAGGATTTTTGTGCCTCGTAGGACGAGGGCTTAAGTGGAGCCTCGCAAGGTGGTTTAGGGCCGACCTCGCGGGAGGACTATGATGAATACCTCTTGGAGAGGTTGTATTTGTGAGGGTTTGGTTGGGTGCCACTTTTGTGGGCTTTAGATAGGCTTTTCCTGTATTTTTATTTGTTGCATCGATGACTTAGGAGAACGCACCAACTCATCCCAGGGTGTGAACTCTTAGGACTTAGCCAATTGTAACATTTTCCTGGTGATTTTCACACGGTTTGCTTCTGGCGTCGTCCAAAATTTTTGAGTTCTTCCTGGCATGACCCCTCAAATATGGAGGTCACACGTCAAACTCTAACCGACTGAAGATTTTTATGACACAAAGTTTGGAGCAGGCCTCACGTTGGTCGTCTTCAGTTTTCTTTGTTTTTTTTGTTTGTGAGCAAGTGGCTCCAACAAGTTTCTCACTTGTGAGCATACTACTCAACGATATCCCCTCTTTCTCTTAAGGGACCGCCAAACATTTGGCAGATCCAACGTGAAATCCGATGGGGCTTCATCGATCTAGGAAGCATCGGTCATGACGACACTATAGCGGTCAGCGGCGGTCGGCAACGAGGCGAGCCGCGGCAGGAAAGTCTGTGGTGGAGGTGTGTGCGAGATGGAGCCATCCAAGCTTTGACCAGGATTTAGCAATCCGCTCCTCCTCCACCGACAGTTAGCTACCTCTCGCTCGGCGATAGAAGGCGGCTAGGCTGTAACTTTGAATACGGTTCACTGTCAATTTCCAATCACTATTTCCTCTGGATTCTGTTGTGTTTTTGCAGTGATTTTGGAGCTCTTGGGTCGCTTTTGTCATAGGATTTCATTTATGGACCCAATTTGATGGACTTCTGCTTTGATTGAGCTAAATCGGTGGATTTGTTTTTTGTGAGGTTACCAGCACTACTTCAAGGCAACACGACCAGTGGCGGTCAGCAGTGAGGCGACCAGCGGCGGTCGGCGGGGAGGCGACCAACGGCGGTCGGCGGGGAGGCGACCAGCAGCGATCATCCATGAGGCGACCAGCAGCAGTCAGCCGTGAGGCGACCAGCAGCAGTCAGCCGTGAAACGACCAGCATCGGTCAGCCGCGAGACGAGCTGGGTGGTCAACTACGAGGTGAGCCACGACGTTCAGCTACGAGGCGTCCAACCATGATTCACTTTGAAACAACCTGTGGCGCAGAGTGATAGTGCAACCCCGCCCGGTCAGAAAAGAGGCGACCAGTGACGAAGCCCGCTCAACTCCAGCCCAATTGAACCATTTAATAGACTTTGTATGCATACATGTATATATTTATTTATATAAAAAAAATTTTGATTTATTTTTAAAAATATAGTCTTAAATAAGTAAATCTAATAAACTATGGAGATGTGATCAACCTATTTTCTCTCAAAAATAATAGAATAATTTCACAAGTCTTCGGTTAGGTACTAAAGTTCGGAGTATATAATTACAAACTTATAAGATTATGAGTTTGACATATTATTATTAGTACAATGTTATATATTATTAAAAAAATTAATTGATAAATTTTACTTTTTTTTATCACACAATGACGCATTTTCTCAGTGTCGGACAGGGCCCCTAATTCCTGGGAGAAGGCCCTGGAGATCCGGTCTTCAATAGTGGCAATTAGAGCCTTGTGACCTAGCACAGCTTCACTGTGACGCGACCCAGGCCGGTCAGCGAAGAGGTGACCAGCGACAGCCCACGGTGAGGCGACTAACTGCGGTCAGCCTTGAGGCGAGCTGGGGTGGTCAGCTGTGAGGCGAGCAACGGTGGTCAGCGGCTCTACGGGCGACCTAGCTGTTTTGAGAGGACCCACTCGCACCTCCATTGTGGTTCTAAAATCCCACACTGAGTGTTGTAATCTGGCAGCAATTGGAGATCCGGCCACCCGCAGGGGAGATCGTGGCGGTCAACGACACGGCGACCCGCGGCGGTCATGGATGAGGTGACCCGCGGGGGTCAGCGGCGAGGCGACCAGCAACGATAGCCGGTGAGGCGACCCGTGAGACGATCCACAGTGGAATCCGGCAAGGTTCTCCAAATCTACTGCTCCTCCTCTGATCCTGGTAAACTGCGGTCATCAACACAGCACCAAGGTTCAGTGAATGAGATCTGAAGTTAGATCCGGACAATAGACCTTGGGACAGAGATTTGGAGTTGACTCGATCAGGATTTGGATCTATATTTTTTTGAGAAGAGTAATTCTTGTAACCCGTCGAGAGAGGATAACCCTTGAGCATTATTTCTTCTCTCAACGAGTCCACCAATTTGATGGACAATAAACCCACCAAATGATCCGATTCAGAAGAATGGATCGTAAGATATGAATTAAGAATAAGAACTCGAGAATTATATGTATTTTATTAGCTTGATTTAGCTTGAGTTTTCCCTCTCAGGGTCCCTTCTATTTATACATGGATTCTAGATAATTAAGGTAATACATAATCAACGGGTGTCCGTTCCGTCATTGGCGCGATCCACTTTTTCTAGCTCCGTTTTTGCCATTCAGCTCCGTCTTCTCCTCTGGGTTGGCTTCGCCAGCTGTTTCTGGGCTGGAGTTGAGCGGGCTTCGTCTCGTGGGCCGGCCCAGGCCTAAGTATTTCCTGTGCGCTTGACCCAAAGTCTATTAAATGGTTCAATTGGGCCATCCGCTGGATACCGGCCCATCACAAGCCCCCCAACTCCTCATTCCTCGTCTAGGCCACGTCGAGGGATGGGGAGTTTACGAGGTCCACGTGGGTGCTCCATCACAGATCCGGGCCGTTCCTTGGGTTTCGCGTGACGTTTGGGCACGATCTCTATAAAGATGTAATCATAGCCTGCTGCTTCGCCTTCCCACTGTCAGTTAAAACCGCCGCTGGACGCCATCTTCTTCTTTTACCTCCTCTGTCACCATCCGTTCGTGATTCCGCTGTTACCCGACCCGTTTTGCTTCTGCTCCAGGTCAGTTTCCTCTCTCGCCACCATGATTGTCTCTGATTCCGATTCAGCTTCCGCATCGTCCAATTCTCGTCATGCCGATCAATCGGCCTCTGGACATGACCTAAGCTAGACTCAATCGTCCCATTCGTCACCGCCGGCCATGCCCGGCCAAAAGCTACGCCGATTGAGGAAGCAATTTCCTTCTTCGACCCCAGTACGGGGGGGCTCGAGGGTTAAGCTGGACGAGAGCATCATGGCATTGTGCCATTGCCAAGTTACTGACTGGGGGTTTGCCACTGCCACTGATATGGTTGGACCCTCTATTGGGGTTCTAAGGCCTACTAGCACCCAGACCGCCCTAGACGCTCCGTCGGGGTTCTTTAGAGTCCATTTGGCGTCCCTGAAGAAGGGGCTGCGATTTCCTCTCCACCCGCTGTTGATTGAATTCCTCAACGAGGTGGACCTCCTCCCCTGTCAGTTGGTTCCCAATTCCCACCGGCACATTCCCGGTTATCTGATCAGATGCAAGGATATAGGGGTGAAACCTACTCTCGACCACTTCCTGTTCACTTTCAGCTATAAAAAATGTCAATCACATCCACGACCCTCGCATCCCTCTGCTCCAGGATAGGTATGAGAATTTACTTGGAAAATATTGACTGTGTTAAATTTTCATTAGATGATAATTGTTAGCATAAAAAACTATATCAAGCTAGACTCAGTTCGAACTTTCGTACTTGGTGAAGAGACGGAAGAATAAACGAAAAATATATAACCCTCTAATACGTTATCAAACATGCGCATCGCATCGCAAGTGACGAAACTAAACTGCATCGCAAAGTCGCACGAAAGAGAGATGATTCTGAAGAAGCGATTAATGTTGAATAACATCTGTGAAGCCGATGTCAAAGATCCTCACGTGGACTCAAGACGATCTAATAGCTGATTCAAACACGAACGTTTAGAATTAATAAACTTTGTTATCTAAAGTATCTGATACTATTGTTTGACTCATTAGGACACATTATGTGATTACTTAATGTGAATCAAAATCGTTCGTTAAGCGACAATTCTTTGTAAAACATCGTTGAAGTACCATACAAGGAAATCGACATTATCCTTAGTATGCATTGACTGACTGAACATCGTTGCTGTTGACAACTTGTGATGAAGAATTCCTCAACTCAGGACCAATGATGGTAACACCATAGAGGTGAAAGCATGGCTGATTTCTAAACCGACCGAGTTCATCTCGAATATATATGCAATAACGTCTCAACCATAAGAAGTGTGAAATCTATTCGGGTGATACGCAAAAAGAAACATCTGAACTAAAAGAACAAACCGAAAGTATGTCATCTCTTTGATATGAACTTCCTAATATTTCACCTTTCCGAGACATTGAATTCTCTGTCAATCTTGATCCTAGAAAGGACCAATATTCGTAACTCCGTAATGAATGTGTTTCCATCAAAGACCTCCTGACAAAGAATCATCTGATCAAGTGTTTCCTCCTTGGGAGAATACATGTTTTGTTCATACGCGAATAAAGAAGGATCAACTACAGTCAGTTGAACAATTTGTTATCCTTTACCTCATATCATGACTTACTTGATCAGCTTAGAGAATCCATTATATTCTCTAAGATTGACCTACGGTCAGGATACTCACAAATCCTTGTTAAGAAACTTGAACAAACTGACGATGAAGAATCACCACCCTTTACGGCTGTTCATATAGCATTATCTAAAAAAGATAAAAGTTTTAACATCATTTATACATTTATGTGTACGTATTTTGAATAGCATTTATCAATACTTTTTAAGAAGCATTTATCTATATCATTTATACATATTGATGATACATACGTTGTATGTATATTTGGTACATAAAATAGGTAGGGTGTGTCGATATCCATACCTAATTTGACTAAGTCTACTTCTTTTTTGTTAAAAATAAACAATTTTGTCTTTTAAATTTATCCTATATCTTGTATCCATTTCTTATATTTTTAAGAGTAAAATTTTATCCAAAATGGAATGTGTTTATCCAAATTTAGTGTCAAGGAGACAAGGACTCAACATAGCAACATAAAATACGCAAGGAGAATATTAGAAGTTCCCAAAAAAGTATATCTAATTATATATTAAGGCACACAAATGACACAATATAGTATTTGAGCCAGAAGAGATATAAAATGTACTCCCTCCGTTCCGAAGTATTCATCCAGTTTTGACTTTTGGAACTGTTCATCTAAGCACTTTGACTCATCAAATTCTCTCAATGTGTAAGCCTAAATATAGTCATGTGTGATCTTGTTTGATTTGTCTTAACATATAGATTATTAATATATAATTTCTATAAATTTTTAATATACAAATTACAAGATAAAATGGATTAAAGAAGTGTATTGGATAGTGTGTAAAAATGAAAGTGGATAAATACTCTGGGACGGAGGTAATATCTTTTTGTCTTTGATACATAATAATTGAGATGCACTAATATTCTTGAAGTATTTATCAAAATGCCCTGTAAATGTTTCGTATTTGGTGGACTACCCTGTAAAGGTGAATTGACGGAAATGTCCAGGCGTGTATGACCGACGCGCTTCTTAGAAAATGAAAAGTTATTCCATTTAACGAAGCTTAAACGGCATTTCAACTTTAAATTTAAATAAAAAATCCGAGAATGGGCGAAACGACGATGGAAGAGACTATACAAAAACCCTCCATAAGCATCTTCCTTCATCGTGCGACCATTGAGTTTTCGATCTGTGTGTGCTCTGTCCCCCCTCTTCGACACCTACAAAGCTTGATCGAAACCCTACCCATCCAAAGTCAGCGGTCTCGGAAAACCTTGAATTTCTACAATGAGGACGAAGAATGCTTCTGTGTCTTCCTCCAAGAATGGAAACGTTGAGTATCATGCGGAAGAGAGGATGAAAGAGCACAGCGGTAGCCCAAAGCCCACACAAGGAAAACTCGAGGTCAGAAACTTGATTTTAAATGAATTATTCTCTCTCCAAATAACCAATGGACAATGGTTTATGAATTTTTAGTCTGATCGACTAAAATAAGTGTCGACCTCTTGGTCGCACTAATTTCATATCTTTCCATATGAAATTCGTTGACATTATATGTCGTTATATAGGTTTCGGAGATAAAGACGAAGGTAAATTCAAAGGACTTTCCACATATGAAGCTGACTGTGAAGTCTTCACTGCAAGACTTCCAAAAATTGATGAAAGAAAAGTTGTGCGATCATATGGAAATCCTTGAAGTGTTTAGGAGAGATTCTCCTTTTGGTGCTTTCCTTGATGTCCAACTTGTTCCCCCTCCAGCCATGTTATGGCAGTTGATGGTTAGGGAGGCTAATGTGGAAGGAGCAAAAGGTTCTGAAATGTGGTTTGTAGTAAATGGAGTTCCCATTANACGAAGGTAAATTCAAAGGACTTTCCACATATGAAGCTGACTGTGAAGTCTTCACTGCAAGACTTCCAAAAATTGATGAAAGAAAAGTTGTGCGATCATATGGAAATCCTTGAAGTGTTTAGGAGAGATTCTCCTTTTGGTGCTTTCCTTGATGTCCAACTTGTTCCCCCTCCAGCCATGTTATGGCAGTTGATGGTTAGGGAGGCTAATGTGGAAGGAGCAAAAGGTTCTGAAATGTGGTTTGTAGTAAATGGAGTTCCCATTAGATACTCACTAATGGAATTTTCCTTGATTACTGGACTCAAATGTTCACAACTAGCTCCTGGATACGAAGAGCAGTATGATAAGGATTCACTGCCTGTTTTCGTTAAAGAAAACTGGTCAAAGGGTGTGGTATGTTACACTTCAGTTGTCGAGAGGTTCTCAAAATTGTGCCAGCTACTTGACGATGAAGGGAAGAAAGAGTATGCACTCCAGTGGATAGTGAAGGTGGCGACATTGATGTTTGTTGTTCTCGTTTTAATTGGTCATGCTAAGAAAGATGCCCCAGTTCCAAAATGGATCCTTTCCACTGTTGCAAACTCTGATGATTCCATGTCTTTCCCATGGGGGTCATGGGCATTCCTGGAGTCCCTCCGTATCCAATCTTTGGGGAAGGACTTAGTTTCAGAAAAAAAGAAGCTTGTCAAAGGCGGGAAAACATCAAACACCCTCCGATACACTGGCTTTGTCCTCCCCTCATCCATGAGTAAATTAATTTAAATTGATACTAAAAGTTCCTATAAGGAGACGGCTAAATTGGGCTTCATTTATTGTTGAATGCAGTTTCTCCTCTGGAAAAATAATATTTCAAAAAAGCCGTCGCACGAAGCCATAATCAATGCACTAAACGCTGCCAAGGTAAGGTCTAAAGTTTAAAGAGCAAGGTCGACTTAAGGTGAAAATCGACTTAATGATCTTTAAAGTGAAGGTCGACTTAATATGTCTTTAATGTGAAGGTCGACTTCATGATCTACACTCATTTTTTAATTATGCTCTTTCTTTTGTAGAGTGTTAGGAGCATTCTTCTTCCAGAAGGAAGTGAAATACGTGCCCCTTGGATCACCAGTCTGACCTCCTTGCCTTCTGTTTCCAATCCAACTCTTGGAGAATTCGTAAGGGGAATCCATTGAAGAGGAAAAAAAAGATGGGAAAGAAGAAGATGGGAAGGAAGAAGTTGGGAAGTAAGGAGATGGGAAGGAAGAAGATGAGCCCATTGTAGACAATATGGTCAAGCTCTCCAGTTTTGAAGGAATTCCTGAAGAGAAAGATGAAGAAGAGGTTGACCAATTTAAATTAAAGAATAGGTGTCCACCAATCCAGGTAACTTGGTCGACCCCATTCGTCGATCTTTTTTGTTTTGTTGATTTTTATGGTCGCCAAAGTATGTTCTTATGTTTTGAACCTTTAGTAAAGCATTATGTTTCCAATTGTCAGGAAGAAGAAGAGGAAAAGTTTGCAGTTGAGGGAGAGGCCAATGAAGATGAGATGGCAATGAGTGATAAAATTGTCCATGATGTTGTTGAATTCTGCAAATCAACTGAAAACAATGTTGATGAGGTAATAAACTTATATTCTGATATTTTCATTTGTGATCCTGCCTAATGCTTATTCCTTATAAATTCTGAGTAAAAAGTTGAGTCCGATGGTGACATCTTGAGAGAACTGACAGATGTGGATGAAGTCGCTACTGCACGGGTACGGTTTAATTTGAGTATTATTGAATTAAACTTACTTTTCCTTGAATTAAACTGACTGGTTGTGGCTATTGCGGTTAGTTTAGTTGCGGACAC